TTAAAAATTGTTTTAATTATATAAAGTTATTTAAGAGTTTGTATAGTTAGTATAATTTGTAATTGTAAGATTATTGAAAGTGTAAGTTGTATATTGTTTAGCAATAGTGCTGAGTTAATATTATCAATATTATCTAATATATGTGAAAGTGATTGTTTTGTTAGGTTGGTTTTATTAATATTAGTGCTATCTTTCTGATTTGTGTTCTGAGCAAGAGGGTTTATAATATTAATTCAGAATGTTAGCAGTTGTTTGAAGTAAAATGTTTGCAAAGTGGTTTGGCAATTTGAATAAGTTGTTAAGATATTATGATTGGTAATATAATATTAAGCTTAGCAAGTTCTTGATTGTTAGTTGGTAAAACTGGTTTATCTGTAGGATTTGCTTGCATTATATAATTAAGTAGTAGGAACTAAATATGATAATATTAAAAAATTTCATTAAAAAATATCTTTGTTATTATATTATCAGTTATTGGATATATAAAGTGTAAACTGTGCAAATAAGTTCAGTTTTAGTTGGCAAGAATAGTTCGGTAATAAAATAGTTACTAGAAAGTAATTTAAATATGTAATATTCTTTTAATTATAATACAGCTTTAGCTAATAATACTTTGAATATAGATGAGTTGAAGAAAAAAAACCTCTAACTTTGTAGTTCAGTTTCTAATATATAATAAGCAATAGTTTTTTAGATAGTGAAAGCTAAAAATAAGAGTTTGGAAATGTAATAAAACTATAATAGTCTGCAAGTTTGTGTCTAAAGTATAAGAAGTATTGTAGTATTTGTCTATTTGATATTGGAAAATAGGTTTGTAGTTTTGAAAAAAGATCTTGGTATCTTTCTGATAATGTAGAAAGTTTTGAAAATAGTTGTTTGTTAATTTGTCAAACTTAAAAATTTTACTTAGTTTATTAATAGTAGTTCTGATATATAATCTTTGTGTAATTGAAAGTGTAAATAATAGAATAGCTTTGATATATTCTGGTATTTTATTAGGATCTTGTAGTAGTAATATGAGTTTTTTTTAAAGTGCAATAGTAATTACAGCTCTAATTTTCTTAAGAGTTTGTTTATTTTTATTTTGAATTTGTAAAAAGTCTCTTGCATAGTAGATGATTTTGTAAATCATAAAGAAGGTGTAAAAAGTAAGATTAATATTAGAGAGATATTGTGAAATAAGCATTTATTTAAGTATAAAGTTGATAGTTTTGTATATAGTTGCATCTATAATTGTAATTTAATTAGTTTGTTTATATGTAGCTAAAGCATTATTGTATAAGTTAGTGTTTTTTTTTGGTATACTAAAGTAGTATTTGAGTTTCTGGTAAAGATAATGAAGAACCTAATATTAAGGTATTTTAAATTTAAGAAATATTGCAAGTGGAATTACAAATTCAGTTGGTATAGTGACAAGTTTATGATTAATGAATTCTAGATTCCAGTTAATGTTTAAAGCACCTTAGCAATTTTCTTATATAACCAGATTTTTGGTTAAATGATATATTGATTTGATCTGTGATTCGGGCCTATATAGTATCTGCTTATTCTGAGTTATTGATATTATTACACAGTTGGGCACATTACCAAAAATAGGTAATGCAGATCGAACCTTTTATAATATAAAAATATCAATCAAGTTGATTCTAAAAATATTCTAGAAATACAGTAATGTAAATTATGATTGGCTAAATTAAAGATTATAAACTTTTTTACTTTACACGTAAAAATTACATAAATTACGGACTACTTCTGCTTCATTTTACCTTTGTCACCAGTTAGATAGAAATTATCAATAATTCTTTTTATTAAGACACTGTAATATAATATTACATTTTCTAGTAGATTGATGCACCAATATTATGAAGTTTAACCAGCATTATTAGTGATATACTACTATGTTCGGAGCAATAATTTTATATTCAAAAGTATGTTGAACTTTTGGATTTTGGCTAGCAGTATTCACATGATATCAAAATTATATGAAACTTTGCTTTCAGATATTGTATTTATGTCTATATATTTGAGAATGGACTAGAGAAACCTCCTTTTGCATTATATGTCAAAGGAGTTTTCTTAGTCCATTTCTCATTTATATTGTACGTCAATTTCAAATCTTAAGTTGATTCAAAATTCAATATACTATAATAAATTGTTAAGCTTAAATATATTTTTTTTTTTCGCTTTATTATTTTTACAACTTTTTCCATTAAACATTTCTGAAAATTTTTAAATATCATATTAAATATGAATTCAATCTCTAAATAAAATATCTTGCATAAAAGACATTAACCTTTATTAACTTATTTTTGTATTTTGCGCTTCTGGATTATTATCATTATGTTCATTATCTGAATCAAATAATGATCTTACCTTTTCAAGTATAACTAATAATTTTTTATGCTTCTTGGATTTTATCCCACCATATCTTTTTCAAACACTTCTATTCAACTGTTCAAGAAGAGTTTCGATCTTGAAAATAATCTCCACATTAGTTATTTTAGTTTTATTTTCTTGAGCGATTTCTTCTTGTTTCATTATTGGAATTAGCCTAAATAAAGATGCTGGATTATTGTTAAAGAAAACATTAGTAATATATTCTTTCCAGGCTTTTTGTGCCAAACTAGTAAAATTTAACAAATGTGAGCTTAGTTCGCATTCTCCTTCTAAGCTTTTGCAAATAGTTCTTGAATCCATTGGGCTAATGAAATTATCCTTTCTTAAATGAGCCCATAATCTTTGACATTCAGTAATTGGTTTTGGCCGAGTTCTTGGACTGTTTGCTTGAAAATTGTTATGCCTAATTAACTCAAAAAAGTTTTTTTGCAACTATATATAATATTTTTTGAATTAAATATTTAAATTGTATGTAAATTATAGATGATATTTAGTTATATTTTAAATTATTGATGAAATAAAGTAATTACCTGAAAGAATTTTTTACAGTTTTGCGCAGCAATTTCCCAATAGTGCATTTGTGGAATGGGAGGTATTAGTGTTTTTAAAGTTTTATTTATTTCCTCTAAAATTGCATCCAGTCTCTGATGCTGGTTAGAGAGTCCTGACCGAGAAATGGTACAATTCCTTTCTACAATATCTCTTACAAATGGATCAAGCTGCATCAGTTGTATCTCATCTGAGACTTCTATTAGTCGATATATAGGATGATGCCATGCTGACCATATTGGTGAAAAAACTCTCTTTGCAGCTCTTTTCAGTAATGGATTATTACACCTAATGGCCATCCTATAGTTAATAATAGCTTGTAAATAATAAAAAACCTGCATAATAAATTAATATAAATTTATAGTTTTATAGTTTAAAGCAAATATAATAAATATTAATAAAATTTCATCTGCTCGAATTTCATTTGGTAAAGTGTCTTTTTGTTCTTTCACCCAGGCTAAATACCTTTTCACTATTGGACTGAAGGCAGTTTTAACATAAGGCCACACCAACTCCATAGCCATTGCTTGGCGATAAATATTACAAACTGAATCCCAGGTTTTATGGTAGTCATAGTACTTTTTAAAATATGTGAGCTGATTTTCTGTTTTGTATTCTTGGCATTTTGCAAACTTCTTAAGATTAATATCTCTTTTTAAATAAATTAAAATTAGAAATCATGTAGATATAAAAATAATCAATTGCAAAATAAATATTAATAATTGCCATGAGTAAATACATATCAAACCCATCAATAGCTATAAATTTTGAGAATTTAAATATAATTTAACTTACCAATTCAGTTCCACATATGCACGAAGCATATTCATCTTTTCATGCAGCTGCCCAGAGATAAGGACCAACCAAGGATATTTATGTTTTACTTTAGTTATATAGCTATATGGAACACTGTCGCATATAACAACTACCTATTTGTAAATTTCGTCTTTAATTTCTGAAATTTTTTCTATGTGAAGAAGAGTTTCTTTGACATTAGCTATTGAATTAGGGTTAATATTAAGAGAGTTAGGTACAAAAATTTCCAGGATCTTAACTTCTTTATCAGGAGATTGCTTTTAAGTTATACTTATTCTTGGTACAGTAGACAAATTAGAATCCTTCTCAACATTATAGGGCTTAAAAACAATAGGATGGTTCTTTATATCTTTCTCAACTTTGGGAGCTTGTTTTTGCTATAATTCAGCTAACTTAGGTAGATGAGTGGCGCATTGTGGACAAATCTGCTTCTTATTATCAATATTTAGTTCATTATAGACAAGGCATCGCTTATTACGATTATTATTCAACCCCATACTTATAACAAGAGCATCAATTGTATTAGTCTCAGATAATTTTTCTTCAAGTAATAAACCTAAAATTTCAGAAAGATAATTATTTAGTTCTTTGTCTATCACATTTTGCATTTCAGGTGTAATAATAAAAAGATTCTTATAATCAATCCTGTTATTAAGATTAGACGACCAAAGTAGGTTAGTATGTTGAATATAATTTTGTAATTCTATATTAAAAGCAACAAAACTAGTAACGATATTATATATTATTATGTTTGATCCCCGATCAAGATAGTTCTGTTGCCCTTTTTGTTCATTATCAAACACCATAAATAGAAGTCCATTTGGTAAAGCTTCTTCTTCTTCAGATAATTCATCCAACCATTTTTGAAAATGAGAATAGCTTTCCGAACAAGTAATATAGTTATCGATATTAATGATAGTTTTCGATCTTGCAATAAAATACTTTATGGCTGATGCTGCAAGATTTATTTCTGACACATATTTGTCATATCTGAATTCATAAATTAGATCAACAGCCATTGCTCTTTTGTAAATTTTTTCAGTGTCTAAAGAATCTGGATTAGAATTATTATAGGTTAATGCTTCAATAAATTTAACAGCAACCTTATTACGTTTACTTAGCCATTTCTGTGGAGTATAACTTAATAGGTTTTCTAAAGAAAACCTATTATTGTCTCTAATTAAAGAATTAACATCTTCATATAAAGATTCTTGTTCAAGCAACACAATATTAACAACTTATTGTATCTGCTTATGCTGGTTACAATGTTGAGAACTCCACTGGTTAATGAGATTCTTATTTTCTTCACATTTTCCCTGATACAGACTATTCATTCGAATTATTTCTTCACAATATTCATGTACTTTTCTTTTTAATTCCAATATTTCTTGTTGTTGGTCTTCTAATTGCCACTCCAATTCTGAAATCTTGTTAGTAAGATAAGCTATATACTCATAATCGTCTTTAAATTGTAATTGATTTTTATCTATACTTCCTGATTCTTCAAGTTCAACTATTGACTGAGAAGATAAGTTGGTAATGGTTATCTCATTAGTGATTTCTGGAGCAGAACTAGTGTCAATCCGAGACCTTTTACTTTCATGCTCAAAACTTAAATTATCTGAAATCCATTGATAAAAATAATTAGCAGTTATAACTTAATTATAATGCTTTTGGCAAACAGAATAAGAGCTTAAAACAAGATTAGTAAGTTCTGGCATAAAATTATGATATTCTGCAATCCGTCTAGACAGCTTTGGTGCTTTAGCATAATACCAGATCTGCCTCTCACTTGTACCGCAGAGAATTAATCTGAATTTTTTGTATTTACTGACTAAACCGGCAAATATACAAGGAAGTTCTTTAGGCTTTTTTTCTTGTTGAGCTGGTTGGAGTTGCGACATCTTTGAATTCTAGTGTGCTAGTACTTAAAAAAGGCTATTTAAAAGCACAATTTTTTAAAATTTCAAGTCTCTTTTACTTTTTTGAAAAATGCTAATTATTAAATAATGTTAGGTAATTATGAAACTAAAGGCTTTCGACTCTTATTTCGTATAGTTATAGACTATAAATAAGTATCACAAAAAGCCTCAATTTTTGAACAAAGGGTGACTAATAAGAGCCAATCAAATTTTGACAAATTTTTACAGAGTATTCTAGAATTGATTTCCAAATGTGATAATATGCTCAACTGCATTAAACCTAAGTATGTTAAACTGTTTTTAAGTAATTTGACTATATGTGAGTCTGGTGTTATCAAAATTATTAAATATTGTAATTGTAAAAATTAGTGATGTTGTAGCTATAGTATTAAATAGCTTTAATTAAAATATTGTTTGTATATTAAATAGTTAGAGCTTAAATCACTTTTTATTTTAATATTAGTTAGATGTTGATTGGATTTTGAAGAATTTAGTTGTTGATCTGATAGTTTTAGTAAAGTTATATTGTGAGACAAAAAGGCATTTGTTTCTTTTAATGTTGATGTCTTGTGTTGTCTAAGTAGTATTATATAATGTAGTAGCTAATAGTTGAGTTTGTATAATGTTTGCTGCAGGACTAGCAGTAAGATCAAATGTAGCTTATCATCTTGTAAAATATTGCTTGTTTGTAATAGTTCTTTATCTGTATCTAATTCTATAATTATGTTATATAATATGAATAAGAAATCTTTGTTAAATTTAGGTGTCTTAAATTCTTTTTGTACTTTTTTGTATAACTAAATTGTTAGATTAAGGTCACAATTGCATGTATTTCTGGAATGTTTGGCACTAATGTTTACAAAGTTGTTTTTTGTTGTTATAAGATTAAAAAATATCAATTAGGAGAGTTTTTTGTATTTATATAACTATTGAGTTAGGAATGTAGTAAGGTTGAATATGTGATCAGATTTGATAAGATCTATAAAAAAGAGATATTTGTTAGTAAAGATAAAAATAAGAAAGGTAATTGTAAAGATAAGTTTAGATATATCTTTTATAGTAATGTTAATAAATTCTTTTGCATATTCAATAGAAGGGTTAGCAGCTGAAATTGTTAATATAAGATTGCTTAAGCTAGTAAATTTTCTAATGAAATAAGCTAAAAAAAAAGAAAAGTAAGTGCCTTGGAAGGTTGTTTAATTTGGAGTTTATAATAGGTTGATTATAGATTATTTGTAGAGTTTTTGCTATTTTTTGAAGTTACTATATTATGTCTATATGCTAGATTAGTAAAGATGTAAAGGTTCTTAGAACCACTTTTACTAAAATGCAAATTGTTTATTGCAGCATTGTTTTTAATGTTTTTGTAATTTAGAACTGCTAGTAAAGTTTTTCTTGAGATTTGTACCTTTTTTAAATCAAGTTTAATATAAAGAACAAGTTTAATTAATAGTTCAAGATTAGTTTACTTAGTAGTATTAATAGCAAAACAGGTATCAGAATTGCTCTAACCTAGTGTTATCCTGATTTATGCCTCTTTATAGCAAGAATGCCACTTAAACAAGCCAACTATTGTATATTGATTGTATCTTAAAAAACTTGGAAACCAAGCTGCCCAACTAAAACAATGCTGTAATGCTACAAAATTAGGAACTATAGCTGTTTGTTGGAGTAGATCTGCTAGATTGAACTAGTTGTTTGTGTTATAGAAGGCTATTCAAAGTTTTGATTATAATAATAGATCTAAAACTATTGTGTTTAGTGAGAAAATGTTTGATCTTGGACTTCTGTGTTATCTTTTTTTGTAGAATGCCATTTTTGTATATAAGTGCATCTTTTTTTAAGTTGTAATAAAGAGAGTTAGCTTAGTAGAATAGTAATGTTAATAATAGTCATAGTATAAAGAAACTGTCTAAGGTTGTTATTATATATATTAATAAAAAGTTAATCTATATACTATTACTATCTTAAACTGTTTGCCTGCTGTTATATAGTAAAATAAACACTATATCTTTATTTTATATATATTTGTAATAGTTAATCACTGTACTAGGTAACTTTGTTACTTGGTTGTATTATAACAAAAAGGCTGTAATACTGTAATATTTTGGTGTCTTTTGATAAAAAGTAAAAATTTATCTTAGAAAAGAAACAGATATCTCTTTTAAGAAATTTATCTTCAAAAAGCAATTTTCTCTCTAAGAAAGATTTATTTTGGAATTTATTTTGAAATAACAATTGTGAAAAAGCATTTTAAAAATTTTTGGAATTATTATTTACAAATTTTATTTCTACTAACTCAACTTGAATTAAATTATATTTTGTATTTTGAAATTTTAAAATTTTAAGAAGTTTATACTTTTACCTTCTGTCTTTGGTTCTTAATTTTAATTTTGAATTATTTTTAATTTTTGAATTTTGAATATTATTAATTTATTTACTAGCCATACATATATATATTTTAGAATTATTGAATTTTTAAGTTAAATATTTTGATTGTTTTATTTTGCTAGTATTATGTTTTAGATTTATTATTTTTTTTTATTTTATTATTTTATTCTTATTATTTTATTACTTATTATATAGTACTAATTAGATTTAAAAAATCTTATTCTCTGATGAAATACTAAAAATTATTAATAGAAAACAAATCTGCAAACAAAAATACTAAAATATCTATATAAAAAAATTACAAAAATGATTTTTAGAAATTTTTTATTTTTTATCAATATCTTAATAAGTTTTGATCATAAAAAACTAAAACACATATTAATCTACTTGCAAAAACCTTTTCTATATTTTTATTATACTATATCATAGTGAGAAAACACTTATCTGATTTGCAAATTAGGTCTGAAATCATAATAACATTTTTTAATATCTCTAAAAATGATTTTTAAAAAGATCTAAAAAGAAAAAAAACATTCAAAATTTCTTAAAATAATTATATAAAGTTATTCACTAGACCAATTTTAATATTTTAATATTTATTAGAACTAAAAAGATCATATATACAACTTTACTTAATAGCTCAAGACATAAATATATAGTATAAAAAGACTTAAATAATAGTTTTTCAAAAAGTATAATTTTAAAATAAATTTCTTTTATTGTATTATATAGTCAAAAAAAATTTAAAAATTTTTCTAACCTAAATTAGACTATATAATTTGTAAAGTCTTATTTTTTTTAGATTTTATTATGTTTTAAGATACTAAAAAAATAACTTTTTGAATATTATATACAAATATTATATCTATCTTATTTTCTTTTATATATTTTATTAATTATAGTTATTTTTTTTTTTACAAATAATATAAAGTAATAGCTGTATTTGTAAATAGTATTTTGGCAAGTACTAGTTTTATATTAATAAAATTTAAAAACTATATATAGATATAAACAGTTTGGTTATTAGCACTTCTTTCTTTGGTTATGTTTTAGAATATTTTTAAGTTTTAGTATCTAATAATTCTTGTAAAAAGTAAAAAATCTTGTTATATCTGATCAATACAGAAAAGACAATAGATAACAAACCTTACTACATAAATTTATTTAACTCTTATAGTATCTAAAAGGCTATTAACTTTAAATTTTTTAAATATATATTTTATTTTTTTTATTTTAAATGAAGCAAAGTAAATTTTCTGGTTTATATATCTTATATAATTTTAAACAACCTGCTAACCCAGATTTTATTTTATTATAATAAAAAAATTTTTTATTTTTGTAACTAGTAATCATAGTTTCAAACAATCAAACTGCATAATTTAAAGAATTTTAAAAATTATATAAAACAAAAAAATTATATAATGCATATTTTTAATATGATAATAAATATATTAAAAAATTTAATTATATAGCACATTGTACAATATAAATAATTTGATTTTAATTTAAACTTTTTTACCAAAAAAGTTATTTTAATATGTAGCAAAAATTGCTATAAAATTTATAGCTTTTTGACTTCTTTTCAAAATCAAAAAAATGGGATTCAAATTGGCTTAATTTATATAAGACTATTTCTTTATAATAAATATGCTTTAAAAGTTTATTTTTATATAATACAAAACAATTAAATAAAATCACTAACCAATTTATAAGTCATAAAATTGTTATAAATTTTATTAACATGATCGTAACTATATAATAAATAAATTTTAACTATACTATATATAATGATATAATTTTTTTTTAAAAAAAAAATAAATCATGAATATTTGCTTAATTAAATTGTCACATATAATAAGATTTGCTACATAGCAAATAATAATTAACTAATATTCTTTTTATGACTATCTAACTTTCATTTTTGTTATTTTTTCAGTATTATATTATTTTTTTTTTTTAGTATTAAGATGACCTCTTTGGTCTTTTGACTTTATTAATACTTCTGTTGAGTATCATGACAAATGTAAAACTGGCTACATATGTAATTTTTCTATATTACCTATTTAAGAGATCCACTCGAAGGTTCTCTACTAGTTGTCATACCTAACACTTCTGCTTAAGTGTTCCATTTAAATCCTCTGATCCGAAACCTTTGTACCAACTTTACTAGGTCAAGCCCAAATCCTCATCTTAACCTTAGGACTATTTTATCCTCGAGATAAACCTATCAGAGCCTCTGTGTTCTACACACAGCTAACCTGGATTTCATGTAACATGCTATAGTTATCTA